TTGTTGTTATCAGGGGATTTTTTATATATAAAAGGAGCCTTTCCATTATGAGAAAATTAGAAATATTTCATGGTTATCAATCATTTTTATGGTTTTAGTTACATTTTGTCAGTGAATTATACAAACAGACGTAACCAAACACTAACTGCAGCATGCGTGAAGAGGTAAGGTCAGGCTTAATAAAGTATATTTTGAATAATTGACAATTCGCACCTGGCCATGTCAGTTGGACGGCCCAGGATAAAATATTCCGCTGCAGTCTCATAGGTCAAGAGGTACCAAGCTGCAGTGACCCTTATGCCTCATCCTCACTTTATCTCCAGCCTTCTCTTCTTTAAGCTCTCACACACATTCTGTCATGTACTGGGTATTTTTTCTTTCTTTTTTTAATCTTGACTTTTTTTTTTAGGGTGAGTATGTTACTTTTCCCGACTAATGGTAATACAATTGCTTTTGTCGTGGTTTTAGATATACGTGTATGATTATATACCAAACTTGGGTATTATTAGTAACTCGGGCACCTTTTACAAATTTTGGGTGACCCACAAAAAAAAAATCACGCCGTAAACGCATTGTAAATGTTTTACTTCATCAGGTGTGAGAGTTATTATCGGGAGCGTCAAGATCTATTTCCAAATCATCAGCCATTTTCACATTACACTATTCGGTACTAGTAAGAATAAATGAGCTTGTGGTTTTCAATCATTTTGTGAAGACAAATGACGGTTAGTACTTGTAAATTACATAAGACGGTAGTGATGATATACATAAAATTAAGATATAGCCTTCAGAAGAATCATTAGCTGACTGGAGGAAGCAAAAATTAATTTTGATGAAAAAATATATTCAGTACAAGACAATTACTTTTTCCGCCCCACTGTAAATTGTCCGTTTCCTGATTAACTTGATAGTTTATACAGACTCAATGCAGTATACGGGATTTTAGATTTTGCATTTGTTGCAAAGGGAACATGACATTATCTGCCATTTTCCAGACTATTCATATATGTATTTTAGACTCTCCTAACTTTTAGCATTTTTCACCCAAAGTATTTGAATTTCATAAATCTTTAAGAAGTACATAGCTAAGTGAGTCATAATTATGCGGGTATGTATTGGTAGGCATGAAGTGTAAGCTTATCACACAAATGTCTTCGACCTCAAGGATGATGTTAGGCCTAGACTGGTGGTGCGCCACTGTGTCACCTTTAAAATGTTCTTCGTTGACAGAGTTTCAGATTGCTTCGTTGTCAAGAAGGAATGCCTCTTGGTAACATCGGTGACAAAAGGAATGCCGAGTAGGGCGGAAGTGAATGGGTGGATCGAAGATTATGTAGTGCCGTTTATAGAGACAAGTTGTCAAGGGTCCTCTGGAATGGTAAGAGGTGGTAGACAGGTGTGGGGTTGTAGAGGTGGTAGACAGGTGTGGGGTTGTAGAGGTGGTAGAGAGGTGTGGGGTTGTAGAGGTGGTAGACAGGTGTGGGGTTGTAGAGGTGGTAGACAGGTGTGGGGTTGTAGAGGTGGTAGACAGGTGTGGGGTTGTAGAGGTGGTAGACAGGTGTGGGGTTGTAGAGGTGGTAGACAGGTGTGGGGTTGTTGAGGTGGTAGATAAATCATGTACATATTGACTGTTGGAAAGTATGCAAATTTCTATATAGTTACTGTATTTTGATCAAACTCTTGTCCAGCTCATCATCATTCTGGTTTGTTACATCCACCTCCAGATAACTCGAACACTTCATATTTCTGTGTCTATTCAAGTTAATATTTACCTGTATGTCTATGGTCCGCTGTCTCTTTGGTTTCATTGCTTTATCTCTCTTTCATTCACTATAAACTGTCTGCCAGTATACAGTACACTCATCCACACTAAAGTCATATGCAGGTAGCAGCTGACTTCTCTCTCATCTACCTCCTATATCATTCATCAGTGTTCCATATATCTCCATCATTTGCCTTCATTTATATGCCCTGCACCCACTTTGTACCAGTAATTGATTAATTTGGGAAGAAGCAATTCTCCCTTCCCAACTGAGAGAGCACTTGCAAGTCCTATATACTTGTACTGTACAGTATAATGCTCAGTTCCCACTCTGTACGTGGGTTAGTGATAGGAAGGTCATCCAATTGTAAAACTTGATTAAAATTTACCTGATGGCAACTAGGACACCGTTCCCTCAGGTACAGTAATCACTGTTAAGCCATGCAGGGTGTGGAAAATCTCAGTAAAATAGTGATGGATAACTTCCCTTTTCACTTATTTTAACCTCTTTTAACCTTCCCTTCACAGATGATCTCACTTCTAAGTATTTTTAGACACATAAAATGCCTCTTAATGACTTAGTACATTCACATAACTCAACATTCACAAATTTTTTTTTTCCTATCCACTAACATGTGTCAGTCCTCTATCTTCACTGTTATCTTACCTGATAGTGTACAGTACTGTACAGTACAGTACAGTACAGTGACCCCTCCGTTAACGAACTCAATCCGTTCCAGAAGGTCGTTCGTTAACCGAAACCATTGTTTCAATGGGTTTTTGGGTAATTGGTTCCAGCTCACCGAAAATTGCCTAAATTCAACAAAAATGGTAGAAAAGTTCACTTACTTTGAGGTGTGTATGTAGAAGGCTCCTGGATGATGATGATGATGGGATTTAGAATGGGGGTGGAGGAGAAGGAAGAAGAGAAGGCATTGGGGTGGAAGAGAAGTCACCCCATGGCACCATTTCACCCATAAAATTTTAGCTCTCTGGTGTAATTCAAGATTATTTTCTTTAAATCAACACTGCACTGCATTATATATTGTCAATATATAAAATATATTTCAAAATGACAAATAATTTGCTTGGAAACACAGAAAAAAAGCATTTAGTTGAAGAGAGTCTCAAGCAAGATGTTACCTCCAGTGAAAACAGAGACTAACGCCTGTTTGCTGTGTTAAGAGGCTGGATGCCGGGCATTAAACTAGTCACTTTACCTTCAATTATGTTCAATAATTGTTAAAATGACTAAAAAATTGAATATTAAACTTTTAAAATTATTGAACAGTATAAACTTCTTGATATTTACTAAAATAGTAAGGAATTTAAGCCCTAGAACCGATTAATGTATTGGCGGACTGATACTAAAGCTGGTTGCCCGGCCAGTGCAAGCGAAAACATGTTGAGGTCTGTTCGTAAGAAATTCATTAACTGAATTTTTGTTCGTTAACCGAATTGAAGATTCTTATGGAAGGCAGTTCGTTAACCGAAATTTCGTTAACCGAGGCGTTCGTTAACCGAGGGATCACTGTACCCCTAAATGTATTCCCGAATGCCTTAGAGATGGGGGACAGCCTTGGCTTGGTTTTGCAATGGCCACTCTAGGCTGACACACAACCGTCTGAATGCTTGAAAGCCCCAGCCTATATGTAACGACTGCATGGTCCCCCTAATTATTAAACACAAGTGTCCCAGTCTTCGGGACCTTCAGAGGTGGCATATCTCCAAGACTCGGGGAGGGGATGGTAACTATAGTACCACCACCTATCCTTGGTTTTTGGAACAAATGTCTCTTACAGAGGATGAAATTTTTAAGCTCTGTACAGTACTGTACAGTATACCTATACTGTATCAAGGAGGCTGGCTTACAACAGATTATTTAACAAGATTTTTATAATCTTGAAAGTATAGTTATTCTGAATGTCATCTGTACAGTACGTACTGTAGTTTACTCTATTAATTGTAAATAGAAAATTCTGTTCAGGTGAATATGGCACCCATGACATGACTGTTACTATGCCCAGATGTGATACATTTAATCAGTAAATTAATTTTGGATGTAAATCTCCCATCACCACTGTTCTCTCTTACTGAAGCGTTCAATACAATTATTCCTGTATTTCCTCCTCACTCTTCTTGTTCTCTGGCTTATGTGTACAGTACTTTCTATAGTCCACCTTTCTCTCCCTGCATTTAAGGGAATTTATAATGGTCTTCAATTCACCCTTTATATTCTAATACACATCTTTACATTTCATCCCCATCAACAATGACATTTTTACTTTTGCACTTACTTTATCAAACACTTGTGACTGTACTGTGCTCTCATCTCTTTGCCACTTAGCTTTCTTTTGCACAAAACAAGAACTTTTAAGTACCTTTGACTCATCATAATTTCAGTCCATCTCTTCTTATTACTCTGATTAAAGCTGTGCACTTTCAAACAACCAATTTTTATTCTCTTCTGGTTCTTTTTAGCAGTAGATTAAAAGGTCAGGATAGTTTATTTGCCCCACATCCCTCTACAGTAATCTCTCCATTAGCCAGAACAATTGTTGCGGAATGTTTCCCAGTTTGAGAGACTTCTGGGTATTGGAATGAATTTTCTTATCCTCAGAAAAAATCGCACATCTACGGACTTTTTCCAGGCAATAGTGAATGTTTCCGCATTGGACTACAGTCGGACAGACCCAGAGCTGTATTTATTTATGCAAACTTTACTGTACATGTATAATATACTGTACTGGTATAGGAAATAAACAAAATATACTGTACAACTGCTTACACTATACCAGGGGTGGGCAATTATTTTTGATGGAGGGGTCACTTCATGAATGGTGGCACACTTCGTGGGCCACACACTTAATGTAGATGGAAATGTATTATATTAACACAAAGTAAAGCCTTGTATTTGTAAATACAAATGCAGTGGCGAGCCACAGAAATAATTTGGCGGGCCAAATGTGGCCCGCGGGCCATACTTTGCCCACCCCTGCACTATACTGTACTCACCAGCAGATAGCCACTTCTTGTGTTCTTTATACAAATTGTTCTTGGTAATTTAGCATTGGCTATTATTTATTGACAAGTTTGTTTTAACTGATTATATATACTGTATTATTAAATTAAACAATATGTAACTCATTCAAATGTGGAAAAGCATCATAAAATGATATGAGGAATACAGTTGAGTATACTGTATTGATACAGTACTGCATTATTGTATTCATTGCAGTGAGTCAAGCATGTTCATCTCAGCTCGTCGGTTCATCCTGAAGACGTGTGGCACAACCACCCCATTATGTTGCTTGCCTGTGCTGATATCCCTGGTGCAGGAGTATGCTGGATATGACCATGTTCAGGTGTGCTAAAAAATATAATCACTTGAGCAACTAATGCTTTGATTATTGCATCTTTCATTGAAGACTATATTGAACTGTTCATAATTCTTGATGGCTCCTCATATATTTTTTCATAAGTAATGTCTTTTTTTCAGCTCATGTGGGTAACAAAATAATTAAGTCATTTTACATATTGCATTAACCCATTTGCACTTCTACTTTTTCTAATTTGTTGACTTTATAATACCGTACTGTACACAGAAGTATGACATTAGTTCATACATTAAACAAATTGATATCTAGAATATGTTCAATGTACTGTGTAAGGTACCTGACAAAATCATGCCTGAAATGATATGTACAGAGGTAGGATTATGGGATTAATATTTGTAAATACTGTACCCAGTTATCTTCATTTTTGGTACAGTAAATGTATAAAATGAATTGTGTAAATTATGAATCACATCTCAAGTTACATCATTTCTTCTGTCTTGCTAACTAAGGCAGAAACTAGCCAGTGTGTTACTGAAGCATTGGAGTTATATTTTGTTGTTTCTTAAATGAATTGAGCTTCCAAGGCATGATGCATAACAGTCTCTCTCTCTGTCTCTCTCTCCATCTCTGTGTGTATGTATAAAACCATATTGAGTCTCTTATAGAATCAGTATGACACTATAATTAAACTAATGGAGCATGGCCATCTGCATACTTACTCAATAGATCGCCTTAAATGCAGATCGACAAAATTTGGTCATTTGTCTTAACAGGTTATTCTCTTGACTAGGTTTGGAAAGCTTGCTAGCTCACTCTTCTTTTCAGATCTTACTCTTTTTTCAAGTCTCCCATCACTTTCTGTAAGTCACAGGTGTGTTGCTGTGTCCCGTATCAGTAGATACAAGCCTAATCTCAGGTCTGTCTCCTGGAAAATTTTACTGTCTTTGTGTCTTCTTTATTTATCGTATTTGTATCTTCCAGTTTGTCTTCTTAAGCTTTATATCTCATCCTGCACCTATATTGATACTCTTATAAACATTTCAGTTACCGTACTTCTCACTCTCTTTTCTAGAAATCAACAACTATACTGTACTACTATATCTCTCTTTAATGTACGTACTGTACTGTACAAGACACAGATGCATTGTTTCTGTGCTAATATCTTGAGTATTTCACCTAAGCAAGTTCCAGTGCAGTGATAATATTAAGTTACAGCAATTTGTTTGGTTGATGCAGTTTTATGCCTGTATTATTAAACAACATCTTCCCTTGAAGAGGGTCCTCGTGTCGAGAACCGTATTTTTAAATGCGAAGGACCTTTTACTGCAGCACGCGAAGAGTGTGGTGGCGGAAAACAAACTAATACAGTTTTGCTGAAATTTGATGAGGTAATTAATAGCTGCTTTTCGTCACACTCTTCGTAATTGTTTTGTTAGTTTTATTGAATATTTATAGTCAATACGATTAATGTACTGTACGAAGAAACCCATATTGGTAATTTTATAAATCTACATTATTTACATTTTTGGTTTTACGGCCCATATTACGACATTTGCAAAAGCTGTGCTTCCTGTCATTGCCAAATGCAAGCTGCTGGAGTCATCTCATCTTACTAATGTTGGTGCTAATCAGGTAAGCACATTTATGGTAATTTTTTATACTTTTTAGCAGTTTTATAAATGAGTTTCTGTCTCGAAAAAATAAATTGGCAAGACTCCTGCCTAGAAATATTAAAATGAATAGAGGCAAATTTCACTGGGAGAAAATCGTCTCCAGACTTTATGCGGCATATATTAATAAAGTATAAGTACAATTAAGTTACTTGCTGCAACTTTTTACAGTAGCCGTTTTTTAAGCGAGTTTCTGTCTGGGAACCAAATGAGAAGTCTCTACTTCCCATATAACTGAATTAAGCATATTGTCTTAGAGATTGTAGTCATCTGCACCCTCTTTAATGTAACCTACTTCACAACAAAATAAAAAATTTTAACATCCTTCTTTTTTTGCATTCCAAAATCTTCTTTAATTGTTCTTCTGATCGCTGAGGCCCATACTCCTCAGCATTGAAACTGTTGCTATTTGCAACCATGTTTGCTTCTTTAAAGCAACAAGCTTTCCACAAGTATTTTTATTTTGTAAAATCTTTTCCTCCCCAATCAAATGGACTAATAAATCACGTTCTCTCTGCGATATAGGACTTGCCCTTGATGATTGAGGGGAAAAATTTCCATGATGAGAGCGCAGTACTCTTAATTTTAGCGCCAACGAAGGTAAACAAACACACGAGTAAGACGACCCATAATGCATCAGCGAAGTGGACCGTATTACCAGACCTACCCTATTTGGTCCCACACGAAGGGGAAGAGGTTCGAGCAATTAAAAATACCGCTCGAAAGAACAATTCCTTCAAGAAGACTCTTTGTCGGAGAGGGAAGATGTTTAATAATACGGCGTTAATGTTTTCTTTTATCTGTTGTAGGAGCTGCTAATGTACTGTAATAGATATAAAAGCTTTTCAAAGTACTGTACTATTCTGTATTTAGAACTGTATAATAATTTTTCCTTTCACGCTGGCATTTTTATTTGTGATATTTTAGGTAAGCTGAGCTAGTGTGTGTTGTAGGTGTTGTGTTTGAATGTTTTTGTGTAGGATACATTTTACTTCAAAAGGATCACATGAAGGTTAGACACCCTAGATGTGATGATTAAACACCATAACACTAACCTAACATAACCAAACCTAATCTATTCTAACCTAATCTATTCTAACCTAACCCCTCCTGGTAGATCTACAGTGTTTAATAAATACGGTCTAATCTTCATGTAATACCTTCAGATGTCTACTGAAGTACTGTACGTCATCAAAGACATTTAGAATAGTAATTTCAAAATGCTTAGTTTTTGGTTAAAAGCAACTTCAACAATAAGAATTTAAAATATAATTTGTCAGTACAGTACTTGCTTATATTACACATTGTTTTGTTTTCTTGTAAATAGATTATCTGAAAGTACCCGGTGATTGGAAATGTAATGTCACATCTCTATTCTCTGTATAAGGCAAATTCAACCATGTGCAGGTATTTGTTGATAAGTAAACAGTGAGCTATGTGCTGAACTGGTTTATCTGAAGGTAAAGACAAGAAAAAACCAGACCCTATTTATAAAGGTAATTAATCTGTTCAGTACATTTATCAGCAAGGCATCAAGGAAATTAAAGAAAACTGTACTGTATTTCTAACCAGATTCCCTCCTCTCACATAATGTAACCGTGAAGCCTATTGGTTATCCCTTGGCATTGGTGGCTAAGAACTAATCTAAAGATTTCCTATAGTCTATCTTAATGTTGTACCCACTGTCCTTGGAAAGGGAGATGAGAAGCAACAATTACCATTTGAAATAGGAAAATAAAGTCATGACGTTCACACAAGAATGAACCCACCACTATACCTGTCAGGTGTTAGGTTGGCCATGTTGGATTTCAGGTTCTTCACATCCTAGTTGCCCACAAGGTTCAGTATAGATGGCCAGCCAACAGTATCTTCCTCTTTCCTGTAAGCACTTCGGGAGTTCAACGGCTGTCATGCTAGTTTTAGTGTTATATTAATGGTAGACAACACTTACCCCTGAACACATTTGCATGGGCAGGTTTTAGAAACGGTAAGTAAATACATTTTTAATGTTATTTTTTCTTAATAACTTCGTGTGTAAGTGTTTACTTTACACCTTGGCTGACCACCGATCATTTGCCTTTGTTGTGTATTTTGAGAAGTGGGGGAGGGATGGTCCAAACAAAGTTGCTGGTTAGGAATTTTGAGGCCGCCCGTTTGTTTGGCTTATAAGTGGCGGGGACTGTACATAAACAGCGCAGGCATACACGTAGCATTGAATAGTAAGCTGATTTGCCTAAGGATAGCCCAAGGAAGATATTAGAAGCTTGTATCTTTTGGGGTCCTTTTGTGGTATATTGGAGAGTAGTCAGAAAAGGTAAATCTTTCATTATACGTAGATTATAAATGACCCGTTAAAGGCATGTGTTGACCATTTTGGACAGGGTGCAGTTGGTTAAGTGAAGGTCCTAGTTTGGCTCACGTTATCATGTATCAGATCAATGTTAATGTTTGTTAGAGGGTGTAAAGGAGGATGCCACAGTATCAGGAAATTTTTATCATGATGCATGTTAATGAGTGACGCGTATGCCACTGCTCTTAGTTTATATAATAATAAAGGTTTTTTATTTAATTTGTGAAATTAGGTACTTTATACAGAACTGAAACATGTAGGTTCAATAGCGAACAATTTTTTAAACATTTCAGAGCTTTGGATTGCTCTGCACTTCAGTTTAGCATAGGAATTTTCTTTTGGGTGTGGAGCTAAACTGTTCATCAAAAATAAGAACATGTGCTCCATGTGCTCAGTATACTGTATTGTATTATACTTGACAGTGTGGGTGTTGCAGTGACCTGTAAGATATGGGTTGTGGGTCAGACAGTGGGCACAGTGGTATCTAACTCGAGCACTACAGAGGTGTGTGGTGGGAGGTGCAGATCACATTATCAGTTTGAGCATATTTAGTAGCATTGTACTCCGTCATCCATTTTTCTATTTCGCCTCAGTGGCTCAAATGCCATCGCTCCTCTCAATGGTTAAAGAGTTACAGAAAGTTACTTGGGATGCTAGGATTTGCACCCGAAATATAATATGGCTGAACTAAAATCTGATAGCCATGGTGCATATTTGCTGGTGTGACATTTTGACCCTTTACAGTACTGTAACGTATTCTAATAATCTGAATGCTAACTGTTGCTCCAGGTGTCCCTCATTAAGGACAAAAGGTTGTAAAAGGGAGGTAACTTTTTATCAGAGGAGATGCCAAGCAAATAATGGTGAGGGTTACCTGGGTGAGCACAATGCGAGTCCTCGAGCAACAAGTTCATTTATAGACAGTATGTCAAGATTCCGTTATGTGTAAGTTCTCAAAAGTTACAACATCTTAGTGTTCTTGATCCTCCTACTCATTCATGGTAATT